GGGGGGGGGGGGGGGGGGGGGGGAGCGGGGGGGGTGGGGGGGGGGGGGGGGGGGGGGCGCGACACTTCGTTTCTCGTCTCCCCCTGCACGATGGGGGCTTGTTCAAAAGCGATATTTCCTTGCGTAACGCGTGCTCTCATTCATAAAAAAGTGTCAAGTCCTCTTGGCGAAAGATAGAGAGCAAGGACAACTACACCACAAGCGTAGACGTGTCTACTTATGTTGTATTGCACCTTGATTTTTTGGCCCCAAAAACAAGCGTGCTAAAGACGAAAGGAGGCTTTTACTCAGCACCTCTTTGAATGGTTCTTCTCTTCCCGAGAGCTTTCTTTCTCCACGTCTTGTGTCTTTTGCGTTTGATTGCGGCGGCAGGGTGTGCTTTTTTCTCTCCATCGAAACGCCTTTGGCCCCTACATAACTCCTACGAGGCTTGTCTATCCTCCACATCGACGAACCATCCAGGTGACGATGGAGGTACGCACTGCAAAAGGAGGTTATGGATGGGCTACCGCAATAGCGAACACCCGCGGTAAACGCCGGGTCGGCTCTGTTGTGTCCCCCCCCCCCCCCCCCCCCCTCCAAAAAACTTTAACTGGTTACACCTTTCCAGCTCTCCACACTTTTCGCTGAAAGAATGGTGGGCGCGGATGCCGCTTTTATCCCCCCCAGAGGGAAAGGGGGGGACAATCCAACGCTCCCGCACGAAAAGACCGCCGAAGTTAACAGCCCGGAAGGGCGCTTTGAGCTGGGCGTACCATGGGGGAGTTCTCCTGGGAAGGGTGGGGGCGTCGTGTTTTTTTCGGGGGGGGGGGGGGGGGGCCCCTATTTTTGGTGGTTTAAATGGAAAGCCTTTGATGGGCCGCCCAGGGAACCGGGGGAAGGAAGGCCCCCCCTTTTGATGGTGGTGGTGGTGGGGGAATTCCCCCCCAAAAAGGGCCCAATTCTGCTCCAAAACTTTTAAAAAATTTTGGGAAACAAAATGGGCCCACTAAAGGGGGACC